CTAATTTTGATGCTCTAACTACCATTAGATGTGTCTTGACAAGCTTTACAAAAGTTTTTTAAACAAAAAAGATAATTAACTTAGTATAAAAAAAAGTTTACCTTGGGTGAACGTCACATTCACACTATAGTAAATTTATATAGTAATCTGAGTCACATTTTACTAAGAGCATACTTCAGTTGACTGGAGAATCATTAATTAAGCAAAAAACTATAAAATTATTTATCATTCAATTGTGTTTACAGTTAACTAAAATCCATAGCTTAATATCACGTAATAATTATTCATTTACTTTAATTGGAATGTATAAGAGTTATTGTTAACTGCTTACTTATAATTCATTCTCTCTGAATAGGTCTACTGAATAACGAAGAAATTGAAAAATATCTGCCTACAATTGCAAATTTTTTCTATAAAGTTGCTCTTATTTGCTAAATTTAGATTCTGAATTTTGAATTAAGAACTTTTAGCAAAATCAGTATAATTTCTATAATTTTAATAATTTCAATAATTAGAGATTTTAGTTAGAATTCTTAAGGCTATTTAGATATATCAACTAATTGATTAGTTAATTAATTAATTAATTGACTAATTGATTAATCGATTAGTTAATGATAATTGATTTCTATTTAACTTATTAAAAATTTTTGCCCAACTAATTGATTAATCAATTAGTCGATTAATCACATTAGTCGATTAGTTGTTTAACAAAATTATCAATCGATTAGTTGCCAACTTGATCTATTTGAATCACTATTCAATAGTCTTGATTATGGACAAATTTTAAGAACTGCATGAGAACGTTCTTAACCAGGGATATAACAATTGTAATAAAATCATTTAGTTAAATTACTCAAATTCATAATCTTTAACACAGCACAATATCTTTTTAATTTATTTTATTTTCGATCATATTAAATAGTTAAAGTCTGAAATGAGTCAAATTACTCAAATTTATAACCGTTAATGCAACACAATATTTCTCATTTTCATTCGTATTGAATTAGTTAGAATTCTAAAGAATTTTAATTAATTTTGTTTGCATATTCAAAAAAACCATTATTACGTAGAAATAAATAATAATAAATAAATAAAATGAGTCTATTTCTCATTTCAGAAAGTATAAAAGTAGAGGTTGTCGACAACTATAATTTAATTTTATTTGTATTAAAAACATAAAACGTAAAATGGATGAACAAATAAATGACTAAATAGATGACCAAGAAATTGAAAATCCTACTCACAATGACCAAGAAATTGAAGATAATACTTACGATGAAGATTTTACCTATGATGAAGATGATGAGCAAGTGTCTTGTGGTGAACTCATACCTGATAATGAACTCGAATCTGATGATGAAACAGCTAAATCTACTGATTCGGCTCCAACTAATCAGTTAGATGAAAGCCCCATATGGCAACATTTTGAGAGAAAGCCTGACTATGTGCTAGACTCTAATGTTTGCAAATATTGTACTCCTAAAAAAAAATATAAATTAACAACTAGCATATCATCTTTAAGGTCTCACATTATAAATATACATAATCTAGAAGTTCTTCTACTTAAAAAATATAATAAAGTCAAAAAAAACGTAAATCCATTTAATTCACATGAACAAAATAAACATACAAAATACCTTTTAGAGTGGTTGATATATGATCTTCAATCATTTGCAGTTGTTGAAAATAGTTACTTTCAAGCATTCATCAATCACTTTTGCCCACGTTATTCTATTCCTAGATGACATAAAGTAAAAAACTTAATAATTAATATGTTTAATAACCGACAACCTAAAGTTGCAAATAAACTTAGTACAATTTCTAGAAAATGTTTATTAACAGCCAACATTTGGACTTCAACTATTCAGCAAGAAGCTTTTTTGGGACTCACAGTTCACTATATCAACCTTGAATGGAAACTAAAAATTTTTTACTTGATATTATTCTGTTTAATATTAGTCATTCAGGTGTAAATATTGCACAAGCAATTTTAAATACTTTAAATGAATTCAATATTCGTAATAAGGTTATTAGACTTACTACCAATAACGCAGCTTCAATGCTAGTCTGTGGAAGAAAAGTTACTGAAAATCTTAATTAGCATTTTTTTCTTTAAATTTTTCATATTACCGGTGTGTGGTGCATGTTCTTAACTTGGGCGTAAAATAAGGCTTAAAACATGTTGATGGTGCAATTGATAAAGCCCGAAAATTGATGATTAAAATAAAAAATTCAACAACTCTTAATCATGAGCTTCGCTGTTTTTGTGAATTAAAGGGAATATCAAATCTTAAGCCTATCATAGATGTTGAAACATGTTGGAACTCGACTTTTTATATGTTAAACCATATACAACAGCTCCAACCTGCACTAGCTTTACTCGTAGCTGATCAACCACTTATTAGTGGCCTTTATCCTGATAAAGAAGATTAGAATGCAATTAATGTATATAAATTTTTTTCTTTTTTTTTAACCTCATTGCATATTTTAACTTTATTATAAACAGAATACTCTCCTAATTCTTGAGCCATTAGAAAAGGCTACTATATATCTTTCAGCATCATCGTATCCAACTTTAGGTGATACACGGTTTATCTTTGAAAGAATTCAAGCATGCTTAGAAAATTATGTTGGAGATGAGAATTTTATACAGAATGAAATAACATTAGCTATATTACAAAAGCTTTCTGAATATTGGGATATAATGGACCAGTTCTCAATTACCTCTGCGATTTTAGACCCTAGAGCTAAATTATCAATTTTCTCTTCACAATTGATTCCAAGTATAAAAGAACAAATTAAAGCTCTTTTTCAAATATATTTAGAAAATACATTTAACACAACTACCTTACCTGCAAGTAATCCTAATCCTAATCCTAATAGTATTCGTCAATACTTTTTACAATTTTGACATCAAGGAGTGCCAAGTAACAGGCCCTCGAATTCGCCAACATTAGAATTAAATCAATATCTTACATCACCCAAAGATGAGGAAAGAACAGACCCTCTATTATGGTGGCAAATATATGCCAAGAAATATTCTACTTTGAGTAAAATAGCTCGTGATTATCTCTCTATACAAGCCACCAGTGTTGCATCAGAACGAGCATTTTCCACTGCCGAGAACACCATTACAAAAACACAAAATCAGTTGTTATCAGAAACTACAAGAGCATCCTTATGCATGAAAAGCTGGATAATGAATGATATAGGAAAGTAAATAGTAATTAGCAAATCATATTAATTCGAATATTAAAGCATTTTAGAATTTAGTCTCTTAAATTTTTTTTTTATCTTTTCAATTTTTTTTTCAATTTTTTTTCAATTTTTTTTCAACCTCGAGCTTTTTTTGTTAAGACTAAATAAATAATAAAATATAATTAGTCAATTAATAAAATTCCAACTAAATTAAATAGTGAATATATTTATTTTAAATACAAAGTTAATAATCACCTTATACAAACCAACTAAATTAAGGCAAATAAGATAAAACATATATCTTTTTGAACTTATTGAACCAAACTTCTCATACTTTTTGTACTTAACTTTCTGCAATGAGAACTTGGCGTACGTCATATTTAAAGATCAATAGGTGTCGTAGTAATGTAATACGGAATCTTTTTTGCTTCAATAAAACGAGCTTTAACCTTCGAAATTTAAGAAATGTTAGCTCTAGCAGTTATTCTATGCAATAATCTATTTGTAATAAATAAGTAATCATGAAAGTTTCCTAGTTCCCGTAATCTTATTATATTTGCATTTTCGATTTTCAGTAAAAGTAAAGAGATAATCGATTAACAATCTAAACCCTTTTATATTTAATTCTAATCAACGTCACTGATTCTAATTTTGACCTGTGACATGTCACCATACTAGACTTAAGAATTGCACCGCAGCAAGAATGTAAGACCTTGAAACTTGGACCAAGCCTTTTCACACCTACTTTTAGTCAAGGTTTTAGGAGTCTTGAGACTTTTATCAAATAGTTTTTGTGTTTAAATTAGTTAGTTTTAGCCTTTGTCTAATTAGTTATCCTTCAATTTATGTTAAGCACTATCACAATTTTTATTTTTTTTTCATAATATGTAACCGGTTTCAAGAATTACCCAATTGCTTTTACAATACATATCAAAGAAAGCCATGTGTATGATTTAATTGTTATTACGTAACACTGGTTTACAAAGTGGTTTATACTATTATTACCATATTATGCGATATATATAATGGCCAAACCATTATTATGTAATAATAGACAAGCTGTTATTTGTTATAGCACATTGACCGATATACCTGGCATAGAATAGATAGATAACGTGACATGCAGTATATGCAGAACTTTCGAATTAGTATATATATGTATGTCCTAAAGAACTCCTCAAAGTTCTGGAATCATACGGACATGCATGTCCGCAAGATTATGTGATTCATATAATAACAAACACATGTAGTCAAACCTTCTAATCATACAACTTTATCTATTTTTATTTAGTATTACTGTTATTGCCTGAAAACAAAAAAATAGAAAAAGTTGTATGGTTAGAAGGTTTGACTACATGTGTTCATTATTATATGAATAAAATGATCTTGCGGACATGCATGTCTGTATGATTCTGGAACTTTGAGAAGTTCTTTAGGACATACATATATATACTAATTCAAAAGTTTCTGCATGTACTGCATGTCATCAACGTAACCTGACACAGAATGGATAAACCGTTATAATGCTATAACAGCCTAACCATTTTCATGTAATAACAGGCAAACTGTTATTTTTTACTATAACAGCCAATCATTTTCATATAATAACGGGCAAACTGTTATTTTTATAATGGTTAAACCGTTATAATGCTATAATGGCCCAACTGTTATCATGTGATAACAGTTAAATCATTTTTGTGCGTTTTTTACACCCTTGCATTATCATTTTTGTATCAGTTCCCCTGTATTAATAATGCACTCCTTGCAGTAATATTACTTGATACAATCAAACTGAGGCCTAAACTGGTTGAACTAGGTTAAAAAACCTAAACCTGGTTTGTATTATAAACTATCTTTTAAACCAAGTTCAACTGGTTTTTTAACAAACTTTACCATCTCTAATCAAGATATTGATGGTAATATTCTTAAAGAAAAAGCAAAATTTTTTGCTAAAAAATTAAACATCAATGATTTTAGCCAATCTGAAGGTTGGTTAAGCGGCTTTAAGAAAAGAAATGAGCTTCAATCATTTAAAAAACATGAAGAATTAGCTAGTGATCTATCAGAAGAGTCAATGGATAATGATCGTGCTAACTTGCAACAACTTCTTTGTGCTTATGAACCTAAAGATATCTGGAATGCTGATGAAACTGAGCTATTTTGGAAAATGAAACTTTCTCAAACTTTGGCGTGCTTACAAGTTGCTGGCTATAAAAAAGAAAAAGCCTGTGTTACAATTTTTTGTGCTATAAATGCATCCAGAACTGAGAAAATGAAACTTTCCTTTATTCATAAATATAAAACACTATGTACAATGAAAAATTTAAATTATAATAATCTTCCAGTTTACTATTTTTGGAATAAAAAATCGTGAATAACAGTAGTGACAGTTAAATGATTGGTTATCCTGAGTCAACAATTTTGTAAATCGCAATATGAACTACCCATGTGACAGATAAATGTAGATCAATTTTTATACTACTATTTATGTAAGCAGGTG